ATATATATATATATATATATATATATATATATATATACACACATATATATATATATATATATATATATATATATATATATATATATATATATAAATATATATATTTATTCATGTATATATATATATCTATCTCTCTCTCTCTCTCTCTCTATATATATATATATATATATATATATATACATATATAAATACATATATATATATATATATATATATATATATATATATATATATATATATATGCACAGATATATATATATATATATATATATATATATGTATATATATGTATATATATGTATATATATATATATATATATATATATATATATATATATATATATATATATATATATATATGTATATATATATAATAAATATATATATATATATAAATATATATATATATATATATATATATATATATATATATATATATATATATATATATATATATATGTGCATATATATATATATATATAAATATATATATATATATATATATATATATATATATATATATATATATAATAAATATATATATATATATATAAATATATATATATATACACACATATATACATATATATATATATATATATATATATATATATATATATATATATATATATATATATATATATAGCTTCCCCGGTGCTCCCTCGGGCAGCTAGCTCGAGCTCTCTTCCCCAGAGTGAAGGGGAACCCTTGGCCCAGGGTATCGTGCCCCCTCCCCAGGGTAACGGGGCCTCCGCCCAAGGCAACGGGCCCCACGGCAGCGCGGGTCAAAGCTGCCCCCCCGCCCATGTTAATGGGCACCCCCTCGACAGCCGGGGTCAAGGCTGCCCCTCGGCCCAGGGTACAGGGCCACTTAGCAACCCTGGCAACCCTTCCAATGAAAACAGTGCATCCAGTGATAACAGTGACGACATCGATAACAGTGATTACAACCAAAAATCAGTGTATCAAATAGGCAACACAACAATAGTGCTGAACACCATCCTTTGCTTTATCGCAACAAAGCGAGCATGGGCAAGGATGGTCTTGTGCGACCATATAAAGAAGCTGTACAGCCCTGAAGAAATTAATGAGGCTCACAACATCATTTTAGACATTTCAGAATCTAGAAAACCAAGGAACACGACGCGTGACATCAAAAGGATGATAATGGTCATCGTGCATACAATGATTGACCAGTGTTTAAATAATGACAAATTAGTGTTCGCAACGACAACAACAAACATCCCAACTACAGATTGGTCACCACCGAAAAAATCCACACCCTTTGTAAATTTTTTCCACAAATCATGTCACCAAGGCACCCAGACACACAACGAGCCAGCTATCAATCAAGACATCATCGAAAACAAGATAGACTTGCTGATTGGAATGTTCTGTGACCAGCAGTCCACCATCAACAAATTGCTTGGCCAAGACGTGATGCCTCCTCAGAAGCAGGAATGCGAAGAGGCAGCATCGCTCGTGGCAGATTCACCCCCTTCCCCCCAAACCCCGTCCTCCCTCCCCTCTCCTACCCACGACCAGTCCTCCTACCAACCCTTCCCTTTCTTATCCCCTCCTCCTGTGAAAACATCTTCTACCTCCGCCCTGCAAGATCTTGAACACTCACACAACCCTCCCCCCCATACAACCTCTACACCTGTGCCCACGCCCCACAATACCCCCTCCCCTCCCTCTCCACCCGCCCCCAGCCAGCCGACCCACGACCTTGCCACCGAGCCAGCTCCCCCTCGCTCGGCACCACGCTCGGCACCACCACGTAAGCGCTTCCCCAAAAATGCTGAGGCATTGGTTCCAGAGATGAGAAGCGAGGCCTCGACGCAAGTTACACCGAGGAGGAGCTACATCAAGAACAACAAGAGGAAGAACAAAGAAAAAATCTTCCACCCAACCGCGAGTGGGACGACGCGACTCACCACCACGTGCCTGGAGTCCCTGCCCCCTCTACTACCCCCTCACCACCACAAGGGCCTACGGTCGTTGTCAACATCACAGAACGACCGGAAGCGCAACAAACAAACGCGCAGGACATGGAAGGTTTCGTCGCCGTCACCTCCAGAAAAGGGAGAAGAAAAGCACGCGAGGAACGCCAAACATCTAAACCACTACAAGGTGTAGAACGTCCCCAGGTAGTGTACTTATACATTACTAGTTGTCACCCTGACACAGAGGAAGAAGACATAGAAGACTTCCTTACCAAAGAATTTGAAAACATATCAAATGTAAAAGCATACAAAACAAACATGACACACCAGTATTATTCTAGCTTCACTGTAACTATTAGAGGCAAAGACATACACCCTGATCTCTTCACAAATTCAAATGTTTTCCCCAAAAATGTTAAAGTATTTTTAAACAAAAACAAATACAAGGACGATCAGCTGGTTTGACACACTCACACACCGAGACACCGAGACACCGCCGTCAGCAAGACCGACGGTCAAATCACACATGCTAAAAATAGAACACATCAACGCACAATCTCTCCTTGGTCATCTTGACGAGATAGAAATGCTTATATTGGAGAGAAATCTTGATATATTATGTATTAGTGAATCATGGCTTTACCAAGATATGTCAAGCGCATTCATCAAAATACCAAATTTCAATGTTTATAGATGCGATGCAGGGCGTGGTGGAGGAGTCTGCATTTATGTACGAGATACTCTCAAAACAACTGAGATATCCGCTACAACTGCAAGGGGTGCAGATGTAGAGGATATTTGGGTTAACGTACAATGCGTATAATAACGTATATGCTTCCGTCATTCATTGTAGGCGCAACCTATAGGCATCCCCATGGTTCCTCTGAATCTTTTGATTATATAGAAAAAGGTTTTAGAGAAATGTTACTTAAAAAGAAACCTCTTTTCATACTGGGTGATTTAAATGATGATTTAAATAAACCTAATGCAAAACTATCTAAAATAATTAGGAAAAACAAATTAGAACAAATAGTCAAAAAACCTACAAGGGTCACAGAATACACTTCATCATTAATTGATGTAATAATAACAAACAGAGCTGACCTCATTCACCATACAAACGTCATTCCATGCCATGTTGCCGATCACGAACTCATAACAGTGACGCTAAATTTAAAGAAATCAAAAAGACCACCAGCCATAAAAAGTTTCCGAGAATTAACCAACTACTACCCTCAGTCATTATGTCAACAAATAATTGCCAAGGAAGCAACTCTTTTAGAAATATTGCAAACAGATAATGTAGACAAACAGGTAAATGTCTTTACGGAAGTGATTAATGACAGCATAGATGCCATCGCTCCATTGGTTACAAAAACTGTTAGACGTCCTCCTGCTCCATGGATAAACAGCGACATCAAGAGAGCAATAACAGATAGAAATAGCGTTCATAAAGCTCTCAAAAATGACAGACACAACATGGGACTCCAGAATAACTACAAACAAAAAAAGAGAAAAGTCAAATCACTTATACAAGGAGCCAAAACTGATTATTTTAGAAATAGGTTAACAACTTGCAAAAAAGACTCTGCTAAAACATGGAAAATCATTAAAACACTTGTACCAAACTAAAAACATCACAGAGATCATCTAAACACCAGTATTAATGCAAATGAATTTAACGATTTTTTCGCTAAAATTGGACATCTCACATATAAACAAACATATGCTTCCAGATCTCAGCAAAAGGCAGGTAGGATAAGGCCATTAGCAAATATTTTCAGACCAAAACCTGTAAAAGTAGAAACAGTAATCTTAACAATAAAACACCTGCGTCAAACAAATGCTGTGGGAGCAGATGGTATTGCTTTTCGCTTTATTAGAGACAGTCTACCTGCAATAGCCTACTATCTAACGGTAATTATTAACACATCCCTAGTCACTGGTGATTTCCCATCGCTTTGGAAACATGGCATAATAACACCAGTTTTCAAATCCGGAGACACAGACGAAGTCAATAACTATCGCCCTATAACCATACTGCCTATACTGTCTAAAGTTCTAGAAAAAATCGTAGCAGACCAATTGGCATTATTCCTGGAGACAAATGACATACTATCTAATTCACAACATGGATTCAGAAGTAAATTGTCTACTGAAACAGCATTATTACAGATCACAAATAAAATCTATGAGAACATAGACAACAATCAAATAAACTTGCTAACATTGTGCGATTTATCCAAGGCTTTTGACAGTGTCAACCACGAAATCCTCCTTCGTAAATTAATATATCACAATATCGATACATACTGGTTCAGAAGTTATCTAAGCAACAGAAGCCAATCAGTCAAAATTCGCGAGGAAATATCAACAAAACAGATCGTCTCTTTCGGTGTTCCACAAGGATCAATATTAGGCCCAATTTTATTTACAATATTCGTAAATGACTTAACACCCATAGCCCAAAACTGCTTTCTTGTTCAATACGCCGATGATTCCCAATTTCTCCACAGTGATTCAGTAAACAACTTAGATGAACTAATAAAAAAGACCCAGGAGATATTGACACAAATAAAAGGATACTTTGACACAAATGGCCTTAAGATAAATCCAGATAAAACACAATGTATCTTCATGGGTAGTCGCCAAAATATCGCCAAAATTCCAGTAAACACCACCATAAAATTTGAAGACAGCTACATAAAACCGAGCACTTCTGTAAAAAACCTAGGCGTACACATTGACAGATACATGACATTTGAGAACCATGTCGATAACATCCATAGAAAAGTAATGGGCACATCGCTGGACTTGGTACAGCGAGGATCCACCCTCCCTGACTGAGGTCAAGGAGGCGATCTCCAAGCTGAAGAGTGGTAAAGCAGCAGGTGTTTGTGGCATTCCAGCTGAATTGTTAAAGGCTGGTGGAGAATATATGGCAAGGGGCTTGGATGCAGTCCTGTCTGCCATCTGGCAGACCGGTACCATTCCCCCTGACCTGCTGAGGGGTGTGGTCATTCCTCTCTGGAAGGGGAAAGGGGATCATAGGGA